ATGGTAATACATGGAAATCCCTGGACGTTTTGCTTTTGAGTGGTTGACCCTTCGTTAATAACTTGGCTTTGATGGCGTTACGATGCCGAAATTTATTAATTTAATTAAATTTTTCATAGATAAATCTAATTGTATTTTTTTATTTAAAACATAAAAAATACGAAATATAAGCTAGTATTTTGCCCATACAAATGATTTATTTGCAAAAAGTATATAAGTTATATTTTTATAGATTAGTAATTATGTACGGTGTCCCACCGAATAATCTTTAAACGCGTCAATTCCATCGATAAGGGTGGTCCCACGTTAAAAATAATATGCAACGCTACCCTTAATCTTTTGGGTACTGACAAAGTCTTTTTTCTTTGTGAAAATAAATTATAAAATTAATAATAATCAATTGAAAAATAACACAGCCGAGATGCATATTTATATGTATTTTTACGCGCTGAATTAAAAGTCGACATCGGCAAATTCTGATGGTGAATTGGAATTCAGGGCGAAAAGTACATATGAGTAAATGCGTATCGTCTCCACATCAAAATACTTTGTGTGAATGTGTATTTAATAATTAATTATTAATTAATTATTGTCACCTTTAAGCTTAGGCATATATTTCCCTCTGCGTTTTTTAAGCCACTTGGCCAGAAAAAAGAAAAGGATGTCTTTTTTTCTTTTTTAATTTGGTAAATATTTTCTTTAAGGTTATTTTTTTGATAGTTTAATTTAATTTAATTTTACAGGTTATATTTGTTTGACATATTCTAATGGAATACCTTAGAATGACTTGTGACAATATTATATAAGCATTTGCGCTTAACATGGAAGCTGCACTTAAGAACCTTGGTTCTTAAGTGCAGCTTCCATGTTAAGCGCAAATGCTTATATAATATTGTAGATAAGTCGTTTTCACTTAACAGTGTAGCTGCACTTAAATCCTTGTCATTCGAAGGTACCGCTATATATAAAAGTTTAATTCTATAAAAATTTCTCAATAAAATTGTAGTTAAAAGATCTTCCGGTGAGCGTGGTACACCTTATTTGGATTTTATTTTATTTGCAAAAAATGGCGAATGCGCCGGGATAATAAACTTTAGTTTGCTGTTTCGTTTTATCTTTCTCATAGTAAAACATCTGTCTAATAATTAGTCTAAGAAAATCAATATTGTGAAAAAATATTTATAAGACATAATTATTTTCTAATACACAGGCCCACAAACACAAAAAAGTGGAATGAACTTTACATGTGAGTATACTACCTCTATGGATTTTGAGCCGCTGAATCCGAATCCGGTCTCAGAATTTCTCCTGGACCCCCCAGTTTTCCTCTAGCCTAGGAGAAATACTTGAAATATTAGAAATTTCAGTACCTGTAAAACCAATTTTAATATATACGCAATATTAAATAAAACGATAATGTTTTCACGTATCTCAAGTCGCTTAGTTCGAATCTTACTGTGGAATTTCCCTAGATACCTCAGAAGTCCACTAGCCTAGGGGAAAAAGTGTTAAGCTCAGCAAAACTTGCGATTTCTGGAGTGTTCTATTTTTGCGCAAGAAAGTTTATATATTTTTGTATTTTCAGTTCCTGAATTCATATCTGGCCTGAAAAATGTTCCACAGTACTTCAGAATTTCCCTAGCCTAGGGAAAAACGTAGAAAATTGTGCAAAAAAAAGTTTCATGCAGGCCTTTTTCGTACAGGGAAAGCTGATTTTTTTCCATCTTCTGAGTTGCCGTGTTAATTTCTGTCATCAAAATTTTAATCCAGCTCCTCACAATTGCCCTAGCCTACGAAAAATTGCTATGATATTAGTTCGTTCGTATTTTCCTTGTTCTTTTATCGTCAAATGTCCGACGAGGTGGATTCCTCTTTCTTTTTTTGCTTTCACCTGCAACATTTTTTTACTATTTTCTTATAATTTTAAAGTTACCTAAGAAATTTTCCCTTATCTTTGTACATTTTTCGTAGGCTAGGGTAATTGTGAGAAGCTGGATAAAAATTCTGATGACAAAAATGAACACGGTTTCCCGTACGAAAAAGGCCTGCATGAAACTTCGATTTTTGCACAATTTTCTACATTTTTCCATAGGCTAGGGAAATTCTGAACATTTTTCACGTCCGATATGAATTCAGGAACTCAAAATACGAAAATATATAAGCTTTCTTGCGCAAAAATTCAACAAAAAATCCCAAGATTCGAACTAAGCGACTCGAGATACGTGAAAACAATATCATCTCATTAACCCGTAACCGGTACGGTACGATTTTCAGGACATAAACGGTACTAAGGGGTCTGAGAGACACCTACCTTTTAAAATTGTTATTTATATTATTTTTTTTATCTGAGGTTTTGGGGATACTAGGGACTATATATAAAGTTGGAATATTACCAAAAATAAAACCTAAATAAAAGAAAAATTTAAACAAATAGGTTTTAATCAAAACATGTACAAAAAGTGCAGTAGTGCAAACTTTGTGATTAAACTATAAAAAATATTAAACCAAACAAAATAAAACGATCTTTATTTCGAAGATATAGCTTAAAAAGTAACATAAACAAAAAAAATTCTAATATATCTTTTTTTAACAGCAAAAATAACTGCTTCAAACTATAGCTAATTTTTACAAATATTTTTTCCATTTTTCTTTTTTTTTCAAATTCTTAAAAAATTTCAAATTCTTTACTATATGACCCTATAAAATTATTTTCTACAGAATCTTCACAGACAAGTCCTGAATCGCTGCTGTGATTATCTTCAACGACATAATCACTATAATGGTTGTGTAGTATACTACAGTCATCTATAGATGCTTATGCACTTATATCGCTGTCGATTTCATAAAACCACTATAGTACAGTTTCCTTGAAGCCCTTCTTATCACTTTGGACACGTTTAGAAGGCCCTTGTTGCGAATCCATAACGAATTAATTGTTTTATAAAAATAACGTAAACGGTACGCAGTGGTCTAATAGACACCTCAACACTTTGACTCCTAATAATTTGTCCGTTTGACAATCCAACCTGTTCAAAGTCTAAGAGCATATTGATAACTGCCTAACTTAAAAGTATTGGAAGCGACAGATTTTTAAAACAAAAGGTGAGGGTGTGACAGCGCTTTGTTCGTTGATGAGTGTCTCCCAGACACCACAGTACCGGTTACGGGTTAAATTTTAATATTGCGTAGATCAAAATTGCTTTAACAGATACTGAAATTTCTAAGATTTCACGAAACTGGGGGGTCCGGGGGAAATTCTCAGATCAGATGCGGATTCAGCGGCTCAAAATCCATAGGGGTATACCCCTATACTATAGTATACTCACATTTAAAGTTCATTCCCCTTTTTTTTGTGAGCCTAGGCCCACACAGCTGTGTTATATATATTTTTTTATGATGATGATTTTCTTAGACTACGGTCTTCTATGCATTTATTTACGAATTAAGTTACAAAGAGAGATTTTTCAGATCGCTTCGATAACTTTACTTTCGCTAGGACTAATAAAACTACAAAAATTGTTGACTTTGAAGCAAAAAACTTGGCTAATCAAATGTTATGAAACTAGAGACCTATGCTACCGTATGATAATGAATAAATTCATCTATTTATGAATGATCTAAATTCATTAAAACTTCTTTAAATTATTTTCGTTCGAGATCGACCGAATAGCTGCATTATGTTGGAAGTACATTAAATTATAATAATTTAATGGCACTTTATCAATTTGTTTATTAAAAAAGGGTTGTTATATCTTTAAATAACTGTGCTAATTTAAATTTCCAATAAAACGGCCCAATCATGCCATGATAGGTAATAGCGCACCACAAGTTAATTTTTTGAAATATTATCTTCGGGCAGGTATGGTAAAATGTGGATTTTGACAGCTCCAATTTTAAAACTGTTGGGATTAAACTAAAATATCGGTCCCAACCAAAAACAAGAATATAAACGTTTGGGTTCATCAACTTCTTCAAGAGTTTTCCTAAAGTGTGGTTTAAACGAAATAATTTTATTCTGCTTTCTGGTTGTAACGGTCTTCTTTTGAGTGATAAACGGGGAGATTCCGCTACAGAATTTAATGCCAGAAGAGTATCTGCATCTTTTTTGTTAATTCAAAACAGAGCCAGTCTCTAATAATTTTTATTTTCCAACAGCCACATGAGAAACTAATTTCTAGATATTTTTTATGAAATTTATTGTGTGGTTACACGGTAGCAGTACCGGTACCAGTACCAGTACCAGTACCAGTCCCATAATAATAAATTTGATAAATTCTTTGATACAAAAGAATACTCATACTCAAGAAAGTAAATTTGCCTACTTGTATGCCTTCCAATGTTTAAATAAAATTTTGCCCAAATTTGTTTTAAAAATGTAAGTAGAAAATTAACTGTAAAAGTTAAAGTAAAAACGAGATGAGATTTAAGAGTTTTTTATTAAGAGTAAATTTTAAAATAAAAAAATCCTCTTTGCAACTCAATCCATGATAGACCATAATATAGACAGTAAAATTAAGTTAAGGCACAATCCGTGGATTGTGATGTAAGGTATATGTTACTGACAGTAGCATTAAGATTAGTTATCTGTCACTTTTAGTAAAATTAAGGTTAGGTATCTATCTGTCACTAACAGTAGAATTCAGGTTAAGTATCTAACGTTTTAAATTTTCAGATACAAAATGGAAGTGGTCGATATAAGAGAAAAAGTGCTACTCTCTTACTCTTTCATGCATGGGAAGAGCAGACCTTCTTATCTTATTTATTTCCTATCTTGTACGTTTCTTTTCAAACTGAACTTAAAAAGTACAATAATTTACCAAATGATTACATCTTAAAAATCTGCAACCAATATTTATTTTCACTGGATCGGAGGAGGTTATGATATTTTTATAATATTTGTAAATGATAACGTTTGCGGAGTAGACATTTTAGTTCAACTTTTCTTTTTATATATTTCATAGTACAACCCTTTCCTAATTACGTCTCAATATTCTTTTTAGCGTTCCCCAAGGATTGGAAGATGTCTCCTCGTATCCGACCCTGTTCGCTGAGCTGATAGGCACCGGAAAGTGGAGCGTCGAGGATCTGAAAAAACTGGCAGGACTGAATTTCCTGCGGGTATTTCAGGACGTCGAAAATTTAAGGGACGAATTCAAGAAGGCTAACGTGCTTCCATATGAAGATGTCATGACGCCAAAGCCGAAGGAAAATAACTGTTCCTCACAGGACCATTAAAAAAATACTAATTGGTGAATGTGAACATTAAAATTAAATGGTTAAATTATTATAAATAATTGAATAGGTAAAACTGGATGATTTAGTTTAATATGTAGATAAAACAATAGATTTAAAATTAGCTAAAATGAATTTAATTCATTAAAATGGATACTAAATTAAATAATACCAACTAATATTTGTTGTTTTATATTTCAAAAATATTTAAGTGCGTTTTTAGATGAAAATCACACAAAATTAAAAGTTTTATTGATATAAAGTTTATATGCAAGCTCACCCCTAAAAGTTATCATTAATTATTATTTTTAAAATTTAATAATATAAGTACCTACATAAGGCCATAAGAATATTAATTGTGGTCAAAATGTGACAGACTTAAAAAGCCAACAAATCGGACGAAAATAATTAAAGAATAATAATTTTTGGATAGCAAATGTTGCTAAAAAAGTTAAAAGATAAGGTAATCATTTTATTTTAAAATAAAATTCCTGTTTTATATTATACAATGTAAACACATTTAGTAATAATTACTGATAGTATATTATTTGTTGCAATTAAGCTTTTTACGTGATAAATCGAGTTTAGTTTCGATTCTCGTGCACTTTGTTGTCTTTACGCCGCCGCGGGCTCTTTTATTTATTTGTATTATAATAATTAATCAATTGATTATTGATTATTAATAATTGTCAAATTTGGAGAAAAACTTCTTTATTTTACCAAGAAAAAACCATATATATAATTTATAAATATATATAGTATATATACTAGTTTAAGCATAGTTATGACTTAAATAATTTTTATGCATTTATTAATTAATTGTGGTTGAAATTTAGTTAAGGAGTTATCGCGAGGTTAATTTAAAGAATTTTGTTGGAATTAAACAGTCTCCATGCAGTGCATCACGTTCATCCCCTCTCTTGCCTACTGGCCACGCGCTGCGTCGGTTCTGCTTTCCGGCAATTGAATGGCAAAAATTTAATATTTTTATATTTTTTTTTAATTTGAAATAAATGGTTAGTACCTGTACATGCTACAGATAAATAAAAACCTTTCCTAAAAATGGGGTTAAGACAGGCAATTTTTTTATTGCATACTTGAAATGTACGAGTATGTTATTAATTTTTTTCCTGCTTCGCGCTACAGCGTTTTGAAAACCGCAAGATTCAAAACTCTTCGATGACCTTAAAAAAAAAATTGTGACGTCACGATGTTATATCAGATTTGTCAAGAATAACGAATGAATCCAACATTTGTTTCTAGCATGTTTTTTAGGTTATGTTTAATATTCTCTAAAGTATTTAAATCGTTTGAAAATCAAGGAAAAAGAAAAGTAGAAAATAAATGTGCAAAAATGAAATGTTAAAAATAATGTTATGAACTCTACAATGGTTTTATAACACGTAAAAAGATTATAACTGTAAAGGAACTTGGTTCGGATGTTCGGATTTTTTATTTTTGCATATACCTCATTTGTAAAACTTGACACGCCTATTCCACCTACCAATATACCAACATACCATTTATATTATAACATCGTGACGTAACGCTACCGAAAGAATTTATCGATTTTAAAATTAAAATTTTTAAGAAAAAATTTAAATCAAAAATCGTTTTCCAACACTATTAAAAAAACGCATACAATAATGACATAATACAACTTAATATAAACTAAAAACGGGGTGTCTCGAAAGTGAAGTACTAAGAGGGAGTTATTTTAAGTAAAAAACTATAAAAAAAGTAGTTTTCAAGTTAAAATTATACCCAAATTAAATTTTAATTGTTATTTTAATGTTTTGGATTTTTTTTAAGATAAAGGAGTTAAAAATATTATAATTCAAAAAAATATTTGTTAGTTAATATTTTAATTAACTCATTCTGGACCATTTTCTTTAGATAAGAATTTGGAGGTTGTCACATTTTCTTTTTTTACATGTATATTTATTTTTGGGAAAGGAAAAAATACATTCATGTTTAAAATAATCGTTTTATTTTGTGGATTTGCGATTTTAAATAAAAACTTCGTAAATACTAAAAACGCACTTAAAAAATATATATATAAATTTACATATCTTAACATTTAATACTTTTTAATTTTATACCATTAATTTAAATAAAATTAAGCTCAAAAAATTAAAAGCCCTTATGTGCAGAAATTTGTTAATGATTGTATATAATGTATAAGTGCATAATGTATATGTGTTAGATTTTACAATTTTTAATGTCATTTGTGTAATAATGTTAAATTAATAGTAATAGAAATTAAATGTAATAAAATAAACCATACTTAACAAAGTTTTAATAATCATACTAAAAAATATTATAAATTAACATTAAATACTCTCTCTTTCAATAAATCTGAACCAAAGATATCTGGACAATAATAACAAAATATTACAGATATCTTTTGTATAAATCTGGAGTATTTTAAGTATTAAATGGTGCTAATTTAATATAGATTTTAATAAAGTATGATAAGAGACCTTCATTTAAAATAGATTAAAATATTTTATGATATAGGATAAAATATACGTATTTAAGAGAACCTCTTAGTTTAAAACTCGTAGACTTTTTATAAATTCGTTAAAAATTCAAAGTATTGTAGATAATTCTAAAAGATTCAGAGTGCTGCACAACTAAGTTATGTTAAAATGATATGACCATATTGTTTTCACGTCTTATAGGTGCACATGGTATGATGCATATAATTTTAAATATTAACTTTGAAACCCTTGTAAATTTGACTATGTGAAAGCACTCCTGTGTTAGTTTTATGCAATTTTGTAAGTACGTTAAAACCTTTAAATGGAAAAGGATTCGCTTTAAAATTATTAAAATATATAAATTAGAAAAAATGGTGTACATTAATGTATTATAGGTATATTATAGTGTATCTAATTTGTGATATCCAGTTTTTCATTGATGTTTAACAGAAAATTATGTATGCATTCATGAGGCATTTTTTAATTATACATTAAATAAAATAATATGCATATAAATAAATTTTCTGTTAATCTATCACTGAAACAGAGTGTTTTTAATAAATATGCAGGCAAATTTTACCAACCTCTATTTGCTATTTTAAATGTTTACATATTCAATATTACTACCTACCTATGTTTTTTTTTAAGTTTTAGGCCTAGATTACCTTTAAAATTTAGGGGTTCAGACAAGAACCAATTATCTCCGAAACACTTTACATTTTACAGGAGGTAAGAAAAACTCCCCCATAAATTAAATTCACTCTGCGAGTATCAAAAATATTAAGGTGATTTTATAGGAGACCGTTTTTCTTACCTACTGTGAGATTTTATTATAAGGAGTATCTTGCTATTTTCACACCTTTTTTTAAATCCGATAAAAAATTAATTGAATTTAGTCTTATTGGATAATAAACAACGGGAATAATGAACCCATTATTCACATTGTTAGGCATCAGTGATTGGCTGATTTCAATATTCACTGTGATTTAAACCAATCAGGTTTTTAATTGGGAGAAGGCGGCTATAATAACATTTAAAATTGGTAAAAAGTGAGGTTAATTTGACAAATGTCATATTTTATTAATTTATTTTGGAAAATCATTTAATCATCTACTTATTGGAGTAAATGGAGTACTATACCTACTATTAAATTATTAGTTTATTATTTAATAATTTAAGTTTATTATTATTTTAATACGTAGATACAGAATTACAATTTTAAGACTCAAAGCTATAGCTTTTTATTTAAAACTAGCTTTACTTTTTAAAACACTCTATATAATAAACCCCCGTGTGTTCATAATCCACATTAAATGACTGATCCTTAGTATTATGTTTAGTTTATTATAAATCAATTTATAAATTAAATACCTACCTTATAATTATAAAATTAACTTAAAGTTGAATATGTATAAAGGTAAAAAACGAAATTATGAACTTAACTGCTATGCATAAACAAAAAACGGAATTAATATTTTGCAGGGGCGCACTAACGTATTTTGGGTGGTGGAACTTATTACAGCGGGACCAACGCAAGGTCTATTTTTTTTTACCTATTTTCACCGCATGGAATGGGACGTTTACTTTTTATTAAAAAAGTTTAAAAAAAAACATGTTTCGTACCAATGCATTGCAATGGAGCCCACGCGTTATGCCTTTACTATTTCCACTTATTTTTACATAGGCATTGGTTGGGATATTTAATTTATATTTTCATAGTTCATTTTGAACGCGGGGTCCGGGAAAAATTTACCTCCATTGCCCCCCCTTGTGCACCCCTGATATTTTGTATAGTTTATACACAGTTCATATTTTAACTAAATAATATTTCCATAACACTATTGATCAGAACAAAGAACAAAGAAATAAACTGTGTATAAATCTTAATTTTTTACCATTTAGTATTAATTAATGATGAACTAGGAAACACTGTTGTTGACTTAATTAAAATTCAAGCTTGTAAGCCATAAACTTTTGCTCGTTTTTTGTTTTAAAATAAATAAAGTATTTATCTAAGTTTAGCTAATTAAAATATGTCTTGTGGTAGTTAAACTCGAGAGAAATTGTGAAATAACAGGACCAATTTCTTACACTTTGTAAACCCATTAAAACTGTAAATACGTTTTAGTTTAATTATTATTAAATTATTCCCAACATATCATAGAAATAGGAATGTATTATCTTGGCGATGTAAGGTTTTTTATGTTACATGTTTGTGTATTTTATGTATATTTATTAAATAAATTTTATAAAAATTACAACCGTGCATTGAGGAAATCCCCTATTTATGTCGAACCTTTCTGACGTCAACGACCTTTGTTGAATTTTAAAAGAAAACTGTTAAAAACCTAATCAGAAATAATTTTAATTGGTTTTATTGTTCTAAAATATTTTAATGTTTTTATAAATTCTTTATAAAAAAACTGACCGGGCAATTTCTTGACAGTTCTCTACAAAATAATTGACAGTCGCGCAAAAGCATCCAAGCAGTTAGGTTGAAGGGTGTATACTATATACAGTATATAATATACTATGTATACCTAGGGTTGTGGAATTGACCGGTCAAATTGTTTTTGGTCAATTGACCAAAATAAAATTAAATAAAATATCAAAATAAATATTACTGTGATTTATTTGTGCTTAATAAATAGGTAATTAAAATAAGTTACCAATTTTTTTTTATTATAAAAGTTATGTCCATCTTT